TGACCTAATGTACCCAAAAATTTCGGTTTTTAAAAATGAAAGAACCTCTCGTGATAAAGAAAAAAATCAATATAAAATGTGTACTTTAGTATTTTAGCGGTGATGGTAAATTTATAAAAAAAAAGAGCATTTACATGATGTACCCCCCAGATCCACCATGTAAACACTTGGAAAAAAAACTTCATAGGTTCCCAGCCTATGAAGTTTAAGGACAAATTATAATTAATTAATTAATGTAAAGAAGAGCGCGAAAAATATAAGAGAGGTTTTTTCATGACGCCACCCTTTTGATCTTTGAATAAAAGTACGCGAACAACCCGAAAAAATGTACGACCGTAGATTTTAATGCCAAAATATCCCTTAACCTGATTTTAACTAAATACTACTATAATAATAGAAAGTCTTATCTCACAGTTAATTTTCCTTTCGATTATGTCATATCATCCAATTCAGTTGTAGGCGGTAGTTCAGGTAGTAGTGGTGCTAATTGGTTTCGAGTTGATGATATTTTCTGCCAAATCTCGTGCAAGACCTAAAAAGAGGTAAACATAGAATTTCATTACATTTTTCGTATGGGTTGCAGAAGTAATTGTTGGTACCCACTTGCACATATCCTTTAAATAGGCAGTGGTCTCTTGGTGGGGTTCGTGTGTATCTTGGTAAAACATATAGACATACAATACAATGTCTTCTTTGAAAGACATCTGAAATAAAAAAACACAAATGCCCCTAAAAATAGGGACAAACAAATAAACGGGGCCCCGGTTATATTAATAAATAATAAAATCAAATTAACAACAATAGGATAAAAACCTTTAAATATGCATATCCTCCTAGCAGTTATTTGGAAGTCCTGGTGCTTTGTGGTGCGAAAAGAAATTAATTCTGTAACCCTGAAATAAAAAAAAAGATTTATACATATTACTTAGCAGTATGCCAATATTTTTTATGTCTTGATACATCAATTAGTCTGACCAATTTCTCCTATGGGTTGTGGAAGTGGTTCTTGGTACTCACTTGGTAAGCAATTTACTTGGAAAGACATCTGAAATGAGATTAAAAAAAACACAAGTGCCCCTAAAAATAGAGGCAAACGTACAAACGGGGCCCCGGTAACAAAAATAAAAATATTATATACTTATATCTAACCAAGGTCTAATTACTTAATATTAACTTATGAATACGAGAAAACCTTTAGGTATCCATATTGAGGTAAACTGGAAGGGTTAAGGGTACTCTTGTTAGAGTGTAAAGATCGCTATTTGATATGTTTAGCATCTCACTCCCCAATATGAAGGGTTTACCTCAGCGCCCTAATTCGACTCAACAAAACCTGCAGTTACCAGTGGAGATTTTAACTAACTACACAATTAAAACAGAATCTACTTACCAACTTATTGATTGTTATCGAGTTATGTTTACAGATCCGAGAGCTTGACCGCACTTATGTATAGTGATGCATTAAGCCCAAATTCGAATGTACTAACGATGGGCAAATGATAAAGCTAGAAATGATTAAAAATGTATAGAACGGCGTAATTACGCAGGGGAAAGCTTAAAATCGGAAAACTCAATCGGATTTTTCTAGATCGTGTTCTTTTTCCCTGGCACAACATCACAACCATCACTAATGCACTAACTTGTGTCCTCCGTATTGGATTGACCTACATGAGATGACTGATACTAAAAAACGATCGCGATTCTGGACCACATACGACAGGAACCATATAGGTGGGCGGCGGCGGATGTAGTTTGCACTAAAGGTTGTGCAACCCTTTGGAAAAATTGCATGCTGTCGTTACAAAGACGCAATCACTTTTTAAGTATCAGTCCTCTGAGGTAGTCAATCGAGTCGAAAGTACACAATTAGTGTATAGTGATGCGTGTGTTGTTCCATGGGCGAAGAATACACAATCCAGAAAAAGTGAGAATTCTCCGATTGTATGCGATCCCCTTTGTCACCACGCCGTATCATACACATCTGTAATTTCAAGCTTTTTGATCAACCAAAACAATAGTATATCAGAATATAGACTTAAGACATGACTACAAAAATACAGTCATATCTTCGCACCTACGACGAACACAACTAGGTAACATTAAATAAGTTAATAAGTATAGATTCTGTTTCATTCGTGTAGTTAGTTACGCACTCTACAGATAATTACCGGTTTTTATTAAAAGTCAGATTGGGGCGCCAAGGTAAACCCTGTATATTGGTAAAGGCAATGCTAAGATGTACCAAGTAGCAGTCATTGCACCCCAAAAAGGGTTCCTTCAACCTTTTTAATCCACCACAATCTCCTAGCAGTCCTGGTCCTTGCCGTCGCGGTGAGAAATTAATTCTGCAACCCTGAAATGAAAAGTGGATTGAAAGAAATGAAATAGACAATGACTTATAAATACTATGTGGTAGCCTACTCGTATTTATTCCAGTGCTCTGGCTACATCATATAGGTACACATGTTCTCCTGTTCGATGTTGTAGTACTCAACCCCCTGGTATCTTTAGTCGAGGCCCATTTACACTAAAATAAATTCCAATTTTGTTATTTTTTTTACATAATCTAGGGTTTTGTATTATCTTACCTATTTTTTTTTTTAACTTCAAACAGTACGTCCTCAACATTTCTCCGTTTAGGAGACTTGTTGTGCAATCACAAAAAATTTAAATTATTTAATTAAAACATATTCATTGCATTGCAGCAGAAAAATCAGTCAAAATAAAACAAGTAATTTATTTAACAAAGTTTTTAGATTTGTAAACGAGTTATTTACATCCATGCTACTAATAAAAAAATTTCAAAAAAAATAAACATTGTACATATAATACTAATTAAAAATTAAAGTGTATGGGGTTGCGCTGCTTCTGGGAAAAACATCGCAAGGACCCATACACCGAATGAAAAAAATAATTTATTAACGAAACGCGAATTACTAGAACCTGCCGTGGGGGGCGACAGGAACACATTTAAACGCGGAAATCGTTTCAAACGATATTAAAATTACGAATAAGTCCTCGCACGAACAAAAAAAAAATTAAAATGTGGACGCAAATAACTCAAAATTATAATTTAACAAAATTATAAAAAATAATTAAAAATTGTCAATGTGATTGAATAAAAAAAAATTCATGCACAATAAATCCCTAAAGCAATCCGCCACTGCGCAAAACACTGTATGAAATCTGAAACAAAACAAATGTAGTCAATCCTAAATAATTAAAACATAAGATTTATATTAAAATTTAATATTATTTAATTATATTTAAATTTAATAAGTTAAAGATTTATGTTAACTCAAAGGCTAAAATTAAATATTTTCACGACAATAAACACTAAGGCGACACTCCAGCACAAATATATTGGATTAGAAAATGTAACGCCGCAAATCGTTTAATATTAAAGAGACGAATTTTTACTTTACAATTTATTTACATTCTTATAATTATAATTCAACAGAAAATCAAGTCAAATCGAATAAACCAAAACAACAAGTTCCATGAGACGTATTTGAAACCGAATGCACGAAATGATTACATAATACATAAATATTTTTCAAAAGACTTACCATTGACTGTAGTGTAGTGTCCGCCGAGAGGTCCAAATACAGAATGATTTTAGTTGGAAATTATGCATCTCTTATATTAGGGTCAGAAAGGGACAAAACTATGAATTGTTACCAGATGATACTAAAATTCAAAAATTGTTATCTAATTGAATAGTTTCGGGTTCGGAACCATAGATGGTCGAATTTGGTCTCGACCCCCAAATTGTACCGCCCTAGTCCCGGGCCTCACGGGCCTATGGGGTAATTCAGCACTAGTCTCTACTGACAAGCAAATTCATAAAATCTAAAAAGGGACTCTACTGACTAGCAAAATAAAAATTATAAAATGACTTTACTGACAAAAAATCATAAAATCCAAAAAGGGACTCTACTGACAAGCAAATTCAAAAAATCAGTCACTCTTCTTACTAATAAATTTATGGTATCTAAAAAAGGAACTCTACTGACGAGCAAATTCATACAAATTAAAAAAGGATTTTACTGGCAAAAAAAATTATTGGCAAGCAAATTCATAAAATCTCAGAAGGGACCCCACTGACTAGCTAAATAAAAATTACAAAAGGACTTTACTGACAAAGAAAATCATGAAATCCAAAAAGGACTTTACTGACAAGCAAATTAATAAATATTAAGAAAGGAACTCTATTGATGAGCAAAATTATGAAATCTAAAAACGAACTCTACTGACCACTAAATTTATGAAATCTATTAAAAGGACTCTACTGACGATCAAATTAAAAAAATTAAATAAATTAGAATTATCAAAAAAGTGAAAAAAAATCGTCGCTTATTAAACCAAATATCCTGAACCAATTTTGAAATTCAAAAATAATTTGGGAAGATTTTTGACAAAGATTGGTTAGGCTGTTTCTTCGTAGTTAATTGTTAAAAGTCTTTCAACGACTTTAGTGGAAATTTGTATGGCGATAGAGTTTCTGGCCTTTTATTGAACATAGTAAAATATTACAAAAATAAATTATAAAAATTATTTGAAATTTGAACTAATCGGCCGCGTTTTTAGAAAAAAAAAAACTACAGGTAAGTATGTAAACCAAATTACATACAATTTTGTACAATTTGCAAAAGTTGCACACATAACTTGCCCTACACAAACTCGGTACACTTATTACCACTTAACCACTCAAATTAATATAATTTTTTATGGTTGAAATCAATTATTAACTTGATATAAGGCAAAATGCCACTTATACTTAGTGTTACATACATATATATATATATATATATATATATATATATATATATATATATATATATAATACCTGAAATTTATTTTATAATTGATAAAGAACTTAATGTAAAATGAAATTTATTCCAGAAATGTTTACATCTGTAATATTAGATAATGTACTGCTAATTTATTCTTAAAGTTTTGAGTTGTGAGTGAGCTTTCTGCAAAAAATTTAAAATAGCATACCACCCCGCAGGCGAAGCACCAAATGCAATGTAGACTCCTTCTGAATGTTGTAATCCGACAACGTACGTCCATCTTCCAACTGCTTACCGGCAAAAATCAATCTCTGCTGATCTGGTGGGATTCCTTCCTTGTCTTGGATCTTGGCCTTAACATTTTCAATAGTATCCGAAGGCTCCACTTCTAAAGTGATAGTTTTTCCTGTGAGGGTCTTGACAAAAATCTGCATGCCTCCGCGCAGACGCAAAACCAAATGGAGAGTGGATTCTTTCTGGATGTTGTAATCAGATAAAGTACGTCCATCTTCTAATTGTTTACCGGCAAAGATTAATCTCTGTTGGTCTGGTGGGATTCCTTCCTTGTCTTGGATCTTGGATTTGACGTTTTCAATGGTGTCTGAAGGCTCAACTTCCAATGTTATTGTTTTGCCTGTTAAAGTCTTGACAAAGATTTGCATACCGCCTCTCAAACGCAAAACTAAATGCAAAGTGGATTCTTTCTGGATGTTATAATCCGACAAAGTCCTGCCGTCTTCCAATTGTTTACCAGCAAAGATTAATCTTTGCTGATCTGGTGGAATGCCCTCTTTGTCTTGGATTTTAGCTTTTACGTTCTCTATGGTATCAGAGGCTTCAACTTCCAAAGTAATAGTCTTACCGGTCAAGGTTTTTACAAAAATCTGCATGCCTCCACGCAGGCGCAAAACCAAGTGCAAAGTGGATTCTTTCTGAATGTTGTAATCAGATAAAGTACGTCCATCTTCCAATTGTTTACCGGCGAAGATCAATCTTTGCTGGTCTGGTGGAATGCCTTCTTTATCCTGAATCTTAGCCTTAACATTTTCAATTGTATCTGAAGGCTCTACTTCTAAAGTTATAGTCTTACCAGTCAAAGTCTTGACAAAAATCTGCATGCCTCCACGCAGACGCAAAACCAAATGGAGTGTGGATTCTTTCTGGATGTTGTAATCAGATAAAGTACGTCCATCTTCTAATTGTTTTCCAGCGAAGATCAATCTTTGCTGGTCTGGTGGAATACCTTCCTTATCTTGGATTTTAGCCTTAACATTTTCAATTGTATCTGAAGGCTCGACTTCCAAGGTTATTGTTTTGCCTGTTAAAGTCTTAACAAAGATTTGCATACCACCTCTTAAACGCAAAACCAAATGCAAAGTTGATTCCTTTTGGATGTTGTAATCAGATAGAGTCCTTCCATCTTCCAATTGTTTGCCCGCGAAGATTAATCGTTGCTGATCTGGGGGGATGCCTTCCTTATCTTGAATCTTGGCTTTCACATTTTCAATTGTATCTGAAGGTTCAACTTCTAAAGTAATAGTCTTGCCAGTCAAAGTTTTGACAAAAATCTGCATTCTAAAAAAATCGAATATATAAAATGTTACAATTTAGACATTTTTTTTATTACTTTTGTTATGTGAACGAATTTATTTTTGTAGGAAAAGACAAAGGAATAACTAAACGTCTAAATTCCAACGCGTACTAGAATATAAAACAACAATGCATTCGCTTTGTTATAATCTAGTTACAAGGGTCGAATAGAAATTCATGCTGAACAAAGTTTTACCATAGTTCTACCACTTACTTGAATTATCCTTGAATACTGTTGAAGAATTAAAAACCCGTTTGATGTTCAAATTTTTCCAATGAATTGTTTTAGCCGGAATCACAACTATTTTTATTTCAGATCTTCTAAAAACTCAAAATGGCCGCAAACATACTATTTTTTGTTTTGGGCGATGATGATGGTGCACGAAGTAGGACACGAAGTACGTACGAATTGTGATTTCCAACTTGTAATACCGCGCCAAATTCAAAATATATAGAAGATATTTAATTGAAATTAATAGAAAAAAGGAAATTAAATAATAATATCATATTTTTAAATGTTACAATTTATTATTATTTAATAAAAAACAATCATTTATTGTCATAAAATAAACCAGGACTTATGACTTATATTTATATCAGTTGCCAAACATTAGAACATGTTAAACAACAATCACACTTCTAACAAATGTCAAATTTGTTGGTTAGAACATTTGCGCAAGAAATAATGCTAATTCGTTTCAAATTTAAATATTGTTGTAATCTATACAGACATTTCCATAAACAATCAGCAGTAAGTCTATTTAACAAAACAATTCTTTTATTTGATAATTGTTTGAAAATTGATTAATTTTTTAAGCAAAATTTAACTCGTGCAAAAATAAAAAACACTTCTATAATGACTGATGTTCGGTGCCGGGATGATCCAGTTGTTATAAAACTGGATTCTCCAGAGTTTAAATCTATATTTACACCCGAATTAGAAGCTTTATCTTCGTTATTTAAAAAATACAAATATGACATCAGAATTGCTGGTGGTGCCGTTAGGTAAATATACATTCCTTGGAATACAATTTTATATACATATGGGTAATCTTTTTCTTTTATTTAAGGGATTTACTAATGGGGAAAAAACCAATAGACTTAGATTTTGCTACTACTGCGACTCCAACACAAATGAAAGATATGTTCACTACAGAAAATATAAGAATGATAAATATGAACGGTGAGAAACATGGTACGATAACACCTAGAATTAATGATAAAGAAAATTTTGAAGTGACCACTTTGAGGATAGATAGAGTCACAGATGGACGGCATGCTGAAGTAGAATTTACAACTGATTGGAAATTAGATGCTAATAGACGAGATTTGACTATCAATTCTATGTTTTTAGGTAAAGATAATTCCAACAAATTTTCCTAAATATTTTATTCCTCACTTTATAATTATTTATTGTTATTAGACTTTGATGGAGTTGTATACGATTATTTTTATGGATATGATGACTTAAAACAGAAGAGAGTAGCGTTTGTTGGAAGTCCAGAGACAAGGATTAAAGAAGATTACTTGAGAATACTGCGTTATTTTAGGTACATACTTTATATATTTATTATATACACATTATATTATATAATGTTGTTATAATAGATTTTATGGAAGAATAAGTGATAGACCTGATGCACACGAACCATCTGTATTGCAATGTATAGGAGAGAATGGTGCAGGTTTAGAACGAATATCAGGTGAACGTATTTGGGTAGAACTGAAAAGATATTAGAAGGTCCTATGGGTTTTGAATTGGCAAAAACTATGCTTTCTGTAGGCTTAGCTACATATATAGGTAAATATGAACTGTTTAGGTACATAAATATTTTCTATTACTAATTATTAACTTTTAGGTTTACCAGCAAAATATAATTTAGAAGAATTCACAAGAGTATGTGAGGCTGATAGAAGTAGGTCAAAAGATAAACGTATTCGTGCTATAGGACTACTTGTAGGGCTTTTGCATGATCAAACAGAAATGATGAACTTGCACAATCGTTTAAAATTATCAGCTTTTGAAAGAGATTTAGGACTTTTTATAATAGCAAATAGAGAAGAAATACCTAGCACTAATCCTATTTTGTAAGCAAATAGGTAAATTTATAATTAAATAAAATTTACATATTTAAACATTGATATTTCTTTTTAGTTTGTATCAAATGCTGATAATCAATAGTCCAAAGAAGTATTTAGAATCCAAAGCTATGGTTTTAGAATTACTTAAATACCAAAATAAAAATGAAATTTATAATGCAATTGAAAAGTGGGAACTTCCCAAGTTTCCGGTTAATGGGAATGATTTAAGGCAGCACGGTTTGGTTGCTGGAAAATATATGGGAAATGTTTTAAATGCCCTGAAGAAGACTTGGGCTGAAAATGATTTTAAAATGACGAGAGAAGAATTATTGAAGTTGGTTCCGGGCGTACTTAGTGAATTAGGATTTGAAGCGCCACCAAAGAAATAAAGAAATTATAAAGGTATTTTACTTTTATATAATAAAATTATTGAAAAGAATGTAAAAATATTTTTTTATTTAATTTATATATTAAATAAATAAATTAAAAGTACAATAGAAAATGAAAATTAAAAGAGGCTCACGAAAATTTAAAACTTTAAATAAACTGTTATAAATAAATAATTATAAATGTAAAATTGAATAGAATTGGTTTTCAAGTTCTGAAAAATAAAATAATAAAAAGCATTTTGTAAATATATGTACAATAAACCAATTGGTTTATTTAAAATTTATTTCATTACCAGTTTCTATTTATTAATATGTACTTTAGCATATTCATTCGATAATTGCACAGCTTTTTCTAACAAATCATACCACTCGGGCTCCAGAATCTTTTTTGCTTTCATATTACAAATAAAATTTTCATTTTGGCCTTTCGGTGGACCAACATGAGCTTTAAATATATCAGCAGATATTTTCAACCATTTTTGTGCGTTAAAACTTTCATTTGTGCAATCCTGAAATATAAAATAAAATGTTACAACATGAAAATTAATTATGTATCTAACTTATTACCTCTGGCACACAACATCTAGCTTTCACATAACCATTCGAGTAGGAAAATATGATAACAGGTTTATCTTTGCAATATCTAGTAACTTTATCTAATTTAACGTTCTCCATTAAAGAGGCACATATTAAATTGTGTACCAGGAATGACCCTTTGTTTGCTTTTAGAGAATCCATAACATCTTTCATTTCGACGTCTATGAAATCTTTGAGATTCTGATATTGGAATTGATTGGATGATTTTATTAAATCATCTATTATTTCTAGAGATTGCATTTTTGTTACGTATGATAGAGTAGTGTTGTTTATTTCAGATTTTAATTCATTGATGCAGGATTTTGTTGTGTTGTTTTCGGTGATGCGTTTTTGTAGTGTTTCAACTTTATTTTCTATCAATTTGCTGTTTTCCAGCACCTTAAAAGTAAGAATCAATTTATAAAATCGTATATTATTATGAGTAATAATAATAAGTGTATTATTAATCGTATATTACATCTTTTGCTTTATGTCCTGTTGCACCATAAAAAACCATATTACTTCTTGATAAATTCTGGAATTTTGTTATGGAAAATTCTTCTAAGTGTTTTGTATTTAATATGTGAGTACCACAACAGGCTTCTTTTGAAAGGAAATTATCTGAAAGGATAGAGAAAAATATTATTATTCAAATAAATATATATATTTATTCTACAATTCAAACATATATATATATATATATATATATATATATATATATATATATATAATTCTAAATACCATTTGATACTTCAATGATACGAATATCATCATCAGGATAAACTTCACCGGGTACAAGTGTAACATCATCCATTGCCAAGAGTTTTTGACTATTTATAGAATTTACACCAATGGGAATTCCTTGATTTATAATTTTCCTATAAATAATAAGATTATTTATAATAAATCAATATCCACATATATATACTTCTATTACAAACCTAATTTGCGTTTCAATTCCATCAATATGTTTCATAGAAATCCGATCTCCATAAATTGCTAAACCCAAACTAAAATATTCTGAACAAACTTTGCTCGATGTCTGAGCAATTACACAATGGGGCAAAATTTTATTAACAGCCGCTTGTAATAAATGGACACCTAAAATATGAAAAAATATGTTCACTATTTCATTTACTGTAATTATACAGTTTTATTTACCTGTATGATTTCTCATGTTATTCAGTCGGCGTTCGCAATCAATTTCAGCAAAAACTGTATCGTCAAGTTTTAGACAAAAATTGCAGTTGTTAGTGGTAATAAATTTGCCTTTGTGTATTATGTAGTTTTGTACGTTAATAACAGATGTGACTTCAAAATAAACATCGTTGTTGATGATGATTTTGCCGGTGTCGGATTCTTGGCCGCCGGATTCGTGATAAAAGTTTGATTTATCCAAAATTATTGAGGCTTCTGAAGGTTTTGTAATTTCTTTTACACTTGTATTGTCGACTATAATAGCTTTAACTTTAGCTTGCAGTTTGGGGAAAATATATTTGTCGTCGTAGTTATAATTATATTTAAAAGAATTATCAGTAGTAGGAATAGTTTGTTGGAAAGAACCAATTAAATCATACAGTTCTTTTTGTGTATACCGTGATGACATTTGTTTGGACTGAGCCTTTTTATTATCGACAAAATTATCAAAATCATTTTTATCAAAATTAATCCTTTAATATCTGCAATATTTTGTATAACACCTTCATCAAAACCATACGTATCACATAATTTATATGCTAATTCACTTGTTAATATTTTTGAACCGTTGGTTAAAGCATTTTGAATTTCTTTATACCCTGATACCAAACCTGGAAACTCTATTACATCTAAATTTATTAATTCAGGACTTTCATTCAAAATGTTTTGCCATTTTTTAGAAGCGTCTAATCTAAGAGCACGCAATACTTCTTCTTCATGATGAATTAAATTATGTACCTTATTTAAATTTTTTACAATTTCTGGGTACGTTTCTCCCAAACTTTCTGCTACAGAGTTGCTTAAAACTTTTAGTAAGGAAGCATTTGTGTTGAAGTATTTTTCACACAGGAGTAAAGCTTTGCGTAAGATTCTTCTGAGCTTAGGACTAAAATGTAATAGGAATTAATACCAATTTTGCATTTTGCTTTAACATACGTACTTTAAATCAGGTATCATGCCGTCTGCTAAACAAACTGTAATCAAACGACAATGATCTGCTAACATTCTATAAGCTGTATCTAATTTAGCTTGATCATCTTCACCAAAAGTTCCTTTGTAAGGTTTAATAGCAGATTTAGAATTCTACAACAATTGGACAGTATTTAATCATTTTTTACAGACTAAAGTTGTTAATAAGCTTTGACTTACATTAAGAATTGTGTTAAAAAGAGGTGCGAATAAATCTGTATCATAGTTTGTTTTGCAATTTTGAATGACTGATACGAGACGTTCAAATCCCATACCGGTGTCTATATGGCATTTAGGCAAAGGAACGACAGCACCTGAAGCAATTCTGAATAGGGCATTTGCTAAATAATATATTTCCACAATATACAATATATAATAAAAATTATTGTATCAATAATAGTAAATAATTACCTATTATATTGTATAAAAACAATATTCCACAATTCAGTAAGATCCCCAAAACCTTTATTAACATGATCTCTTCTATTGGCCGATGTAGATAAATGATCTATATGAATTTCTGTGCAAGGACCGCAAGGACCTGTACTTCCCATTTCCCAAAAATTATCTTTCATGCCGAAAGGAATAATTCTGTCTTCAGGTACTCTATATAAAAACAGCTAATAAGAAATTATATTGATATACATGAATGTATCTATTTACCCTATTTCCCTCCAGATATGTTTACATTCCACATCAGGCTCTAAATTGTGTCCTTTATCCCCCTCAAAGTATGTAACATATAACCTATCCGGTGAAATATTATAAGGCCCCACCAAAAGATTCCAAGCCAATTCGCAAGCTCGTTTCTGATAAGTAATAATAATTAACTGAAATAATGCAGTTTTAGTTCACACTTTCCTATATATTTATATCTAAATACCTTACTATAATCTCCAAAAGACCAATTACCTAACATTTCAAAAAACGTATGATGATAACCGTCCTGGCCAATTATATTTAAATCATTATGCTTTCCACCAACTCGAGCACACTTTTGACTGTTAGCAATTTTTGTACTAACTGGCTGCTGTAAACCTAGAAATACTCCTTTGAACTAAAAATAATAATAATTAGAATAAATTATACAATTGTTTATGGATTTGTTGTAAAAGTATTTACTTGATTCATCCCTGCGTTTACAAAAGGTACTGTAGGATCACAGTATGGCACAATGGGGCTAGATCTAACAAATACATGATCGTTTTCTTTGTTAAAATAATCTAAAAAGCGTTTTCGTATCTCATGAGAAGATTTGTTAGGTTTATATGATGAATTGTGTCTTAGAGATATGTAGAACCATAACTTAATATTAAAGAACTTGGAAAATGTGCGATTCAACATTATTATATTAATATATTATTATTATTATTATTATATACAGATATAGTATTTATTTCAAAGGAAGCACAACAAAGTTTAATTGTTTTTTTTAAATCACTGACAATGCTACAGTCATTGACTTGACACAAATTATAGGTTATAATGGATTTATTTATGGTGCAATGTGATTTATTTATGTCTTATATATACAATTTTCAGCTGTTATGATGAAATTTAACAGTATCAACTTTGATAAATATAATATATTTAATACAATTAAATATTTGTTTAGTTTCATAATATTTTCGAATTATTTGATTAATCAACTGTCACTTGTCAAATTGCACAACTGTCAAAATTTTAACA